ACTTTCTTGAAACCTCAGATCCTCTACCTTTACTATCTGATGTAGGGGTAGTATTAGAAGGAGGAGGTCCTAGAATAGACTTAGGGAATGGAGTGGATGCAGAAGAGGTTACAGTGCGGGAATCACTACGACTTCTGTACGGTGTCCTAGTCACTAACTCGTAATCCCTAACGAAAGAGTAGGCGTGGTCAAGAGTGGTGACACCTCTAAGAACAAGCTCACGTCTAAGATCATCCCGTAGGCCTTGCCTAAACCTACTCAAGGTCATGATTTTATCCTCAACGACCTGACATCTCATTCGAAACTCATCAAATTGAGCAACATATTCGATCACAGGTCGACTGTCTTGCGTAAGTGCGTTCCATTGATCCAGCAAGTTGCCCTTGTAAGATTGAGGTAAATATTTTTCTTCAAGGCGGCGCTTCATTTCATCCCAGTTCCCAACAGGGGGAGTATAGCGCCTCTCTAGGAGGTCCTCAACAGTTTCCCAAAACAGTTGAGCTGTGCCAGTTAATTTCAAACTGGCAAATTGTACCCTCCGATCTTCAGGGACCCCATACCAAGGAAAGAAGCGATCCATATCTCTAACCCATTGATTGAATACACTAGGATCTAGACAACCATCAAATGTAGGGGCATCTAACTTAATATTTCGAAAGAGGCGCTCCTCGTGGCGAGGGTGAGATAGTGTACCATGACGGTGATGTTCCCGCTCGCGTCCACGAGCTTGGTTTCCCTCCCTACGATCACGTCTAGCATGGTGTCGACCACCTTGTGGACAACGATGAGGTCTATTAATAGAAGCGTCAGAATTTTCAGCTTCAGTTGAGTATTGGATTGGGTCAAGAGTGTTTACCCTAGCGGTTAGGGCTCTATTCTCCTCATGAGTAGCGGCTAACTCAGTTTGGACAGCCGTTAATTGATTTTGTAATTGTGCCAACTGTCGGATGATAGCTTTAATGTGGGAAGGGTCCATGGCAAGGGTACTAGCACTAGACGCAATAACTCGACCACTATGCAATTGTATACACAGTAACACTAGCTATGTGAGGTGCGCTATAGAGATAAAAAATAACGAGTGCTAAAAGTAGATTTGCAATCTGAAATTTTATTATTATTGTTGTTGTTGTTATTTGTTAACTTAAAAAAATGGGATTACGTATGATCCGATCGCAAGCTAATAGCATTAATGCAAATAAAATAAAAGCAAAGGTACAAATGATCGACTCAGTCACGTGTGGTAAACAAGAAAGCAATGGGAGTTAGTTTGTGAATTTCAAACAATTAGATTTAAGGCAAAAATTATCAAAGGGCTAGTACACAAAGAATTAACTTATGCAATTCTAAAACAAAGAAATAGTGTCAACTAAAATAGATAGGAGCAGGAACTCCCTGAGTTCAGTTGGCCTGAGTCGTCCCAGCGTCGAATGTCTCTACTTTCTGAACTACTAAGCTCTGAAATGCCAAGACAGAAAATTCCGTGTTCGTTGAGATGCAGTACTTATTAGTCAACTAAAATAAACCTGTAAAACAATGTCAGGAAATTCTCAAAATTCTCGAATTTTTTTTTTTTTTGGCTCTTTTCTTTTCTCTTTTTTTCTCTTTTTTCTTTTTTTCGGACTTTTTTTTTTTAAAATAATACAAAATCAGAACAACAAAATAATAAATGAGCCCATTTCACAAATTTTGGGCCTAACTCAAATTCAAACTCTCAATCAAGCCCAAGCCCAAGCAATAACTAATAAAGCCAACCCGATTGAAATCAAGCCCAAACCCAATTGATAACTAATAAACCAACCCGAGTAACTAATAAACCAACCGATTGAAGAGTATATATCCACTGCACAGCAACTTTGGATCCACTGTCTGGCGGTGCTGTGGGAGTCGCAGTGTTGTGGAATCGGCGTCTTGGGAGGTGGGCGACGAAGGAGAGTCTCAATTATTTGGGTCGCCGATTTACTAGCAGTCGACGAGGTCCGAATTCGTCCTGGAATTTGTGTGTTCAGAGGTCCGAATTCGTGGGCTGTCAAGCTCGAACAGGTGATGGTTTCGTTTCTGGTTGTTGTAATTTCCGACGGCTTATTTCAATTTCTGGTGTACTATGATGGTTTGGTTCGATTTTTGGTTTACTATCTTGCTGGTGGTTACGGTTCAGTGCGTCAAAGGAGGCAGAGTTGTTGACTGTGTTTTGTATCAGTGGGGTTAACGGTGAGAGTTGATTTCAGTGGGGTGTTGCAGTGGATTAGGGGAATTTGGGGGTGGTGGGTTCTGCAACAAGGTTATTATGGGTTTAATGAGTTTTGGGTAACCGGAAATTTTTTTTTTGTTGCAGTGAAAATTCCCAAGTTTAGCTCTGATACCAATTTGATGTAGGATGAATAAGAAAGAAAGAAGAAGGAGAAAGGAGCAGAAGAGAAGAAGGGAACCTGGGGGGAAGAACGCAAAGTGGAAAAACGGGGAGGGGCTGTAGAAGCCAACTTTTATTCAATCAAATTCATCAATCCAATTACAATGTAAAATAGGTTTAAATACTGAAAACACTGCAAATCAAAAACTTAAAAGATAGGGCCAAGCCCATTACACAAGTCCATAAAAATAAAATAACTCAAGTCCAACTAAGAAATAAAAGTCCAACTAAAATAATTAAATATCATCCAACTAAAGTAATAAAACTGGGATGTCATCATCANCAAGTCCAACTAAGAAATAAAAGTCCAACTAAAATAATTAAATATCATCCAACTAAAGTAATAAAACTGGGATGTCATCATCAATAAGGCTCCCCCACAAAGGGTTGCTAGACCTTCTGTAAAATGTTGCTTGAGTAATAAGATTAGTGGTTTGGAAATTGATTTCAAATTTTGAGTAATGCCCCATCTGAGCTTTAATTTATGTCATCTCAAGTTGAGCTCATGGATTTTAGACTCACTAAGCATGGTATATTGTTGGTGCAGTTTGTTCCAGCTTGCTGTCAAACGATAATAATTCATAAAGTTGTTCATTAATGTTGTTGTCCTGGTTGTTGTGCATTGAATATTATTTTAGCTTTTCTTTTAATTCTTATGATTATATTGACTTCGATGTATACCTGAATGTGTCAGTTTACCTCAACTGTCTTGTGCATCTTTAAAGTAATAACTCACTGTAGGATCCTATTAAAACCCTATACTGGTAGGGTTGAAGGCATAAAGAGTGCCAAAAGTTAATGAGGTTGTATAATTAATTGACACCTGTTAAAAAATGATGTATGGTAGTCAAAAACAATATTTTTTTCATGCAAAAAGATCACATTGCAAACAGATCACCACTAATTTGTTTGATTATGAATAAAGTCAGTGTACTTGGGCGGATATCTTAAATACTGGCTCATAGTCAGTGAAAATTTGTTCAATTGAGAGATTCAAAAATGTTGAACATTGTTCCAGACTCAGCTTTAAGTTACTGGTGACTGATTATGCCCATTGATAGTCCTGCATGCTTTTTCTTGGCCAATAATGACTGTTATTACTTTCTTATAAAATTGTGTTCATATCATTGTTCAAAGCATCTGTTGTGACGATGAGCTGTGTATTTGACTATGCTTAAATTTTCTGCAGTCGCTTCTTGCAATGCAGGGGCCCATTTGCTAAGAGAAGGCATCCACTGGTGGACCCAATTGTAGTCTCTGAAATGAGAAGATGCCTGATGGAAGGTGTTGAATTTCAAGCTGAATTGTTAAATTTTAGAAAAGATGGATCCCCGTTAATGAATAGGCTGCGCATGACCCCAATATATGGTGATGACGAGACAATAACCCATATAATTGGCATACAGTTCTTTACGGAAGCAAATCTTGATCTGGGTCAACTTCCAGGATCTTCAGCAAAGGAGACTTCTAGAATATCTGAAAGGTTTAAATTTAGTCCTTCTCCTTGTGTACTAGTTACAGACGGGAAGCGAAATATCAGTGGCGGGGTTTGTGGACTAATGCAGTTAAGTGATGAAGTCCTCTCTATGAAGATTCTTTCTCGGCTGACTCCTAGAGATATTGCATCTCTTGGCTCTGTTTCTCGGCGATTGTATGAGCTGACTAAGAATGAGGATCTCTGGCGAATGGTCTGCCAAAATGCATGGGGCAGTGAAACAACTCGAGTGTTAGAAACAGTGCCAGGTGCTAAACTCTTAGGGTGGGGTAGATTGGCGAGGGAACTTACCACTTTAGAAGCAGCAGCATGGAGAAAGCTAACAGTGGGAGGTGTTGTTGAACCCTCTCGTTGCAACTTCAGTGCATGTGCTGTTGGTAATCGTGTGGTTCTTTTTGGTGGGGAGGGTGTCAACATGCAACCCTTGAATGATACCTTTGTGCTGGACCTGAACTCGAGCAATCCGGAGTGGCAACATGTCAAAGTAAGCTCTCCTCCTCCTGGGCGCTGGGGCCATACACTTTCTTGTGTGAATGGGTCCCATCTTGTTCTGTTCGGGGGCTGTGGGAGACAAGGTTTACTTAATGACGTCTTTGTGTTGGATTTGGACGCTACGCATCCTACTTGGCGTGAAATCTCCAGCTTGGCTCCTCCACTCCCTAGATCTTGGCATAGCTCCTGCACACTGGATGGAAGCAAGCTGATAGTCTCCGGTGGTTGTGCAGATTCTGGAGTGCTTCTTAGCGACACTTTTTCACTTGATCTTTCTATGGAGAAACCAGTGTGGCGAGAGATACCAGTAGCATGGACTCCACCTTCACGTTTAGGACATACATTGTCAGTTTATGGTGGGAGGAAAATCTTGATGTTCGGGGGTCTTGCGAAGAGTGGTCCTCTTCGGTTTCGATCAAGTGATGTATTCACCATGGATCTGAGCGAGGAGGAACCATGTTGGAGATGTGTAACGGGGAGTGGTATGCCTGGTGCTGGAAATCCTGGAGGTATAGCTCCTCCTCCCCGGCTTGATCATGTGGCGGTGAGCCTCCCAGGTGGCAGAATCCTCATATTTGGTGGTTCTGTGGCCGGTCTTCACTCTGCATCTCAGCTCTATATACTCGATCCAACTGAAGAGAAACCGACATGGAGGATTCTGAATGTACCTGGGCAGCCTCCAAGATTTGCTTGGGGACACAGTACATGTGTTGTTGGAGGTACTCGAGCCATAGTCCTTGGAGGTCAAACCGGGGAAGAATGGATGCTAAGTGAGCTTCATGAACTATCTTTAACAAGCTCCACGATATGAGGAAAATGAAAGTTCAGGTGTTTTTTCCGCAGCAAGCCATCTTTTAGGCTCCATTACAATGTCTCTTCTTCATTTGCTAGAAATGCTCGTTGAGTATTGGTGTTGTCGATTGCGGTGCTTCAGCCAATCGCTGAAATTGATTCATTTTCTCGTTGTAAGGCTAGTGGGAACACTTAGAGCCAACGACACGAACCGGGCTTGATTTTATGATTTTGTATCAAAATGTGCAATGTAAAATGCTGCCACCTTGCATCATTTGCTGTCTCTAGGATGCTAATACTTGGTAGGGTTGTAGGACAATATCATACACGTAGGTTTAGTTTCCAATATATATTGTCACTGTGTTGTGCTTTCTGTAAGTTGAAACACAAAAAATATTAAAAAAAAAAGAAAAAAAAAACCCTACTATATCCGTATGTGTGTACAATTTTATGTTATTTTTTGTTTAATAACTATTGGTGATGTATTTGGTTGAGAAAGTCCTCGTAACTTCTTGCATAAGACCCTTTACTGACAGCGTACTGACATACAGTGCTAATTGAGATTTAGGTGCTAATTGAGATTTAGGGCATGTTCAGTCGTCATTATGAAAATTAATTTTTTGACCGTTAGAGAGAAAAATGAGTCTCACCTATGAGTGAAGAAGTTAAAAATAATGGTTGAAATAGTGAAATAACAGTAAAAAAAAATTGATTTTTCTGAGCGAAAAATTGCTATCAAACGAGGGCTTTACATGTTATTTATAATAATGATTTTTATCCAAATATTCTATTAGCCTTAAATTCTAATACCTATTGCTTATTTTCCTTATTTAAAAATGTGGAAGGTAAATAAGTATTTTATGACAAGTGCTACTAATGGAAGGTTGAAGTGAGAAAACTTTAAATAAAAGTTAGGACATAAAGGCTATAATTATCAAAGATTTAAAACCATATGAACAATTAAAATGTGTAATAAATAAAAAAATTTCTTGTGAATGAAGGAAAATTCTACTTGTACATAATTATTGTACATAATGGTATCCATAATGTGATATGACAATCATTCGATTGTTGATATGAGTGTGAGATTTGAATTAAAGGTTGGATCTAGTGCCACGTGTAATTATGGACACCATTATGTAGACAATTATGTACATATAACACTTTTCGTGAATGAATTATCGTACACGTGGGTAGCCATATTTTTCAATAAATGCACCGCATTTTATTGTATTGAAATCTAAAACTTTTTTCATTGTCACATTTACATCCCTAACTTTTTTTTATCAAATTTTTAACATTAAATTTCATTAATGAGCAAATTTTCTCCTTTATAAAGATTTTTTTCAAAAAAATTTGTTTGCGACAAGTATTTAATCACAATTAGCATTTGCTAATTATATGAGCAGCAAATAAGTATTTTTACTTC